AAGGGAGTTTACCAAAAAAACAAAAACAGAATGATTAAACGCAGAAACAAGGAATCAGAAGCTCAAAAAAACCCACAGCTTTATATGAGAACACATTCCTAAAGCTTTGGGAAAAGGAAGCTTTTGATGAAATGCTAACAAGGAAGCCTCACATGAGAGATTTTAAGAACTAGGGAGTTATAGATGGATATGTACCCTGAAATATCCTGTCAGCCACTCAAATCTTTAAATATTCTTTATTTTTAAAGAATAATAATACTTGTGACTCTCCAAGGCTTCTTGCCAAATTTTGCAGATAGCAGCCTGCCAGCTCTCCAAGCCAGATAAGGTCTGTGACTGTAAATCCTCCCTTGAAAGACTTTGCTGGATGTGAATGAGCAGAATTCACAGTCAATTAATAAAAGGGAGAAGGAGTTTGCTTCACGCTCTCGGGAAGCCTTGGTCAGAAGAACACTGGGGAAGTGGGGGTAGATGCTGTCCTCCATGCATGCCAGTGGGGCTATGATGAAAGATGTCCGGAGTTATCCTTCATAATATGTTCTCTTGCTTTTTTTTCCCAAGAGCTGCTTTTGGCCCACATTTCCCCCTCTTGTCTCTCTCCATGGACTGATGCACGAAGGATGAAGGAATCTTTGGGAACCTCCTCTCTCTCGGCCTTTCCCCTGGACACCATCGAAGTGCCCAACGTCACTTGGCCGTGTTATGAATGAAGCGATGGATTTCCCCCTTCCAAAACTGTGAACGTCCTCTCCTCCTCCGTCTCTTCCCCAGGGTCATGGCTGCCCTTCTCCCAGCTCTCTTCCCCCTTCCCCTCAACCTGCTAAGCCCCGCCACCTTAACTCTTGCTGAGTTTCTCCTCCTGCTTACCTTTTGAGTCCCTTTTAGGAGAAACTCAACCGTGTTGATACAACCCCCCCCCCCCATTTCGTGTGGGCGTGCGCGTACGTATGTTCCCAGCTGGGATGCTGGCACGCAGTCTAGCCTAGCTGCGTACAGTGCAATATCTAAGATTTTTTTCTCATCCAGAACCTTGTGTTTGCAGTTTTGCTGAAGGAAGCAAAAAAAGAAAAAAGAAAAGACAATTCAGTTTTGCATGTTTTCTGGCATGACTATAAAACACTTTAACATGGTGGGTGTGTGAGTGTGCAGAATTCGTTTTTTGGTCTAGCATTTGTGTAACCATAGCAGTAGATCTTGGGACTTAACTATTGATCACTAAACTTTTGTTTTCATCTCGCTTCTGTCAAGGCTTGGCTTTTGAAAACAAAACCACTTCCTGTCTTCTTTCTTTCTTTCTTTCTCTCTCTCTCTCTCCCCACCCCCTTTCTCCTCTTCTTCCTCCTCTGGGGTATCTTTCCCTGTTCAGCCTTGACTAGAATTTGAAATAAGAAAATTTTTTTCTTCAAAGTACAGAGCACTGGGTTTCCGGTCCAATTTTGCCCTTCCCCAATTTAAGTCAAGAGTTGTTGGGTTTTTGTTTATTTTATTTTTTTTGTTGTTGTTGTTCTTCTGTCAAACTTCTATCTATAGAACAGCTGTAAAATATTTCACTTTTTTTCTTTCACATCCTTGGGATTGGAAAGAATTCAGTCTTGCCAAATCAGCAATCCTTATGGGAATACCGAACAAAGATGTACGAGTATTTTTGTACCATGTCTAATAAGGAAATATTTATGCATCATGCAAAGATTTTGTGTGGTTTTTGTGCAATTAATTATTACAGAGTATAATAATAATAATAATAATAACTGTAATCTGTAAGATGAGTTTAATGTTTAGTTAAAAGCTTGAAGAGAAAAGACTTTTTTTCTGTAACTGATTCAGTCAGGCATAGTAACGAGAAATTGCACAGTTATTTTTTTTTGTTTTGTTTTGTTGATATTTTATTGCTTGGTATTTGGAAGTCCTTTAAGTATTATATTGAACTATGGCTGTCTCGCTTTGTATCAAGATCGTTGAATAAGTTGCTATATCCTTTGAGAATGTGAAACTGGATAATATATGAATTGTACTCAGTGGTGTCTTGGTAGATCCTTTGATGTGTGGAAGTTTTTTTTTTCATTCTTTGCTCACAGAGGGATTGGTTAATCTTACCTGGAAAAATCAGGTGGGGGCAGCTGCGTTGGTCTATGGCTTAACATGCATCTTCAACCAATCCTTAAAATTTGCCCTCTTGGAGATTATAAATCTGTACGTGAGCCAATACCACCAAAGTGTAAAATGCAAAGTCTCGGAACATTTGGGAAAACGTTGGTGTTAGAAAGAGAGAGAGTGTTGTTTATTTATTGATTTAAATCCCCTCTTTCTGAGAGTCTTGAGTCTTGCCTGAGAAGTAGATTAGGCTGAGACACAATGAATGGCCCAAAATCATCCATCTTTTTTTAAAAAAAATATTTATTACATTTTTCAACATTAAAAACAAGCACAAAAGACACATTTACACCTGTAACAGCTTTTCTATTTCGGTATACATGTTTTTTCTAATAATCCTGTTTACAAAAAAAAATTCTATCTCTATATCATTATCCTAAGTTATATCCATATTTAAATACTCTCTCTATATTATACTTTTACCATTTATACCTTAAGTTTTACGTATACTCCCAAGCCAGGAATACCATCTATTCCAGATTTGATAGTGCTCGGTTTCTTCCCTCTCCTTCATTTCCATAGACAGTCTATCCATTTCTGCACATTCATAGATTTTCCTTCTTATAATTGGGTCTGGGAAGACAAAGTCACCTATCTAAAGGTGGATCTCAAAGTGGGTTTCCTTACTCCTAGCCTTAGCTACTACACCGCACTGGTTTTAAAGACCTACCAAAAGTCTAATGGAAAATAGCTCCCCAATGAAATACATTTACTAGTAAAATTAGGAAAGGAATTTCAAGAGTGGCCGTTGTCCCTCAAAAAGCATATAATCAAAATTTCAACTCGGTGGTGTCCACAAAATCCTAACTGGAGGTACCACATCTCACGGTGCTCTTCATATCAGATAAGCCACGAGGTTGTTACATGAACATCTGTTCCTACCAAATTAAAAAAAAAATCAGGTAAAAATCAAACATAAAGAAAAATCTACTTTCATTGGGAAAAATTAAGTCCTATCTTTAGCAATTTGCAGTCCTACGAAGGCTGAACATTCCAATGGGGGTGAGTTAATCAGCCTAGTCCAAGAGGATTGTAAATTGTGACTTACAATCACAATTGAGCCCAAAACTTATGCTGTTAAGTGAGATGCTTGCTAAGTGAATTTTGCCCTGTTTTACAAACGTTCTTGCCACAGTTGTTAAAAGTGAATCACTGCCGTTGATAAGTTAGTGACTTGGTTGTTAAGTGAATCTGACTTCCTCGTTGACTTGGCTTGTCACAAAAGGTGATCCCACGACCCCCCGGGACATCGCAAGCATCATAAATATGAACCAGTTGCCAAGCATCAGAATTTGCGTCACATGATTATGGGGATTCTGCAAAGGTCCGTAACTGTGAGAAACAGTCGTAAGCCACTTTTTTTCAGTACGGTTGTTACTGGGAATGGTCTAAACCAGTGTTTCTCAACCTTAGCAACTTGAAGATGTCTGGACTTCAACTCCCAGAATTCCCCAGCCAGTGAATGCTGAAGTTGAAGTCCGGACATCTTCAAGTTGCCAAGGTTGAGAAACACTGGTCTAAACAAACTCTTATGAGTCAAGGACTCTGTATACCTGAAAAAGTGTTGGGAAAAAATCCACAAACTCTCATCAAGGGCTCTTGCAGGATTTCCGTTCTACAAACCAACATCAGCATTATCTAAGATTTAAACGAAATATAGGACTCCGTAAGATATGGCTTAATACGACGGGTGATCCTTTTTTCTATTTTTTGCCTTGAGTGGTAACGATTTGGCCCCTTCTATTTTCCCCCTCTTTAAAAAGAAAAAGTCGGCCTGTTCTTTCCTTTCCTAGTTTCCAGAATATTTTGCTCTGGTATACTGCCTTCCCTCTGTGTCTGCTGGGACTTGGGCTGAATGGAGGCACTTGCTCCATTAAACAGGCAACTTTGGCTGTAGCCATCCCAAGCAAGCAATGTTTGATGAATAAATGATAACTTTTAGTCAAGTTGAAACAATTGCTCAGCCAACCGGCATTTTCATGGCTGCAAAAGAAACTGCTTTATTGCCCTTCCGAGATGTGAACAAAGGGGGTGGCGTGTGCTGCCGTAGGGAAGTTTGCAGTAAATAGCCAAGGGGATTAATATAACAAAAAAATATATATTTGTAGACCTCTGTAATCATTTTAGTTCTTGTCCACTTGTAGTCCAATAAAAACTCAATACAGGTAATTCTTCAACTTATGTTGAATGGAGTCTGGAATTACGGCCAGAGGTCATTGCCGTCGTAAGTCAAGGCATCATGTGACTGAATTTCAAGTAGTGGAGGGATTCAAAAATTTTTACTACCGGTTCTGTGGGCATGGCATGGATTGTTGGGTGTGGTAGGGGAAGGATATTGCAAAATCTCCAATCCCTCCCGATCAGCTGGGACTCGGGAGGCAGAGAATAGATGGGGCGGGGCCAGCCAGAGGTGGTATTTGCCGGTTCTCTGAACTACTCAAAATTTCCGCTACCGGTTCTCCAGAACTGGTCAGAACCTGCTGAATGCCACCTCTGATTTCAAGTTACAATGGCGCCTTTGGGTGATGGCTCAGC